AATATCTCTTATCTGTAATGCTGTTTGCTTGCTATTTTATGATTTTATGTTTTTATCCTGCTTTTATGCCCATTTATTGAGAATGTTTTTCTTTTAATGATGTTGTTCAGCACCTTGGGCTTCGGATAATGTTGTAGAAGGTGCTATACAAATAAAATTTGATTGATTGATTGATTGATTGATTGATTGATTGATTTGTGGAGATTTTGTTGGGCAGTAGAAGAGTTGTCTTGCTGTTATCCAATCAGACGCAAGATGTTTGCATATCATGAATATTAATAAGCAACACTTCAAATCCTGCCGTTTTCCACCCCCATTCCCCTTCCAACCAGGGGCGGATTAAGGACTGAAGAACATCCGGGGCTTAACACACGCACACACCACACGTGCGCGCACACACACACGCACACGCGCACGCGCGCACACACAAACACGTGACACGCACTAGTCAACATCATCTATGTCTTGTACCACATCATTTTAATCTGAAGCTCCATATTAAGCATTTTCAGGGCAGAGTATTGTTCCTGTTAGTGTTTAGTGTGAGATGATAGTAAATATTCCCTTTCTTTCTCCAACAACTTTACCTGATAATCTAACTTTAGGCAAACCAGCAGCACAACAAATATTTTCAAATAAGACTCACAAACCTGAGTCAGCACCAGTCTCATCAAAGCTGGGGTTCTGTCGCCGTACTTTTGGTCTAAAAAACGTCCTTATGTCCATCTTCACTCATGCGTTTCAGGCAGAGAGTGTAGAAGTAGCCGGCTGCTGAAGGGCTTCTTCTTCAATGGTGGAGGCTCAGGCAGGCTGTATACAAACTACTGCCAGCTGCTCCCTCTCTGTTGGACTTTGGTACTGCATGCTACTTCCGCAATTTAGATCCGGGGCTTTTCATAAAACATCCGGGGCTTCAGCCCAAGTAGCCGGGCCTAACGCCGCCCCTGCTTCCAACTTACTTCTGCTTCCTGAAACATGAGCGCCAGAGCTTTTTTTCCATAGAAAACAACTCAAGGCTTTTATTCAGAAAAAAATACCTTCTTGCCCACCTTAAATTTTGCAATTAATTTTCCATTTTAGCAATGCCAGCAGTGTCCTCAGTACTGATTAATTAGTGTGATTCCAAGAGAAAATTTAAATCTTCTTGCAGTTTTGTTTCCAACTGTTTTACCTTGATAAGATGCTGACAAGTGGATGAATATGCTTTTCCTGGCAATGGCCTTTCTGGGTCAAGGTGACACGTCCTCCCCATGCAGGTGTGATTTTTCTCAGGGTGCATGCCAGAACAAACAAGTTGGGGTAAATCACAAAGTCACATTGGATAGAAGTGTCAGCCAAATAAATAAACATAAACCAACGCTTCTTAGTGGCTGGTTCCAATCTGGTTTTTACCCTTTACAACCCAACCCCTTTGAAGTAGAAAACAGATTCAAGAAATACATCAAAATGTAGAAAAAATTGAACAAAATAAAGAAGAAGAATGATTTTCTATATATGCATGGATAGAATGTCACTTGGGGATTTCAAACTTGGATATTTGACTCAAGAAGCAATTTAGCAGATGTTTGAAATGGGTTGTGACGCCAGTGTCACCACAAGTCCTTCAGGGTTAAGATGCACCCTCTCTATAAGAAATGATAGAACATTTTCATAACTAAAATATAAAGAATGAAGCTCAGATCCTGTTCATGTGTTGGTTCTGCAGCTGCATGCTGTATTCATGGGACCTTGAGCTCCTCCACTCGCTGAAGTTCCTGTTAAACCCTCATTCTTAGATTAGTCTACCTCAGATCGTTGGATTAGAAGTTTAATAATGCATCTTTAGAAAATTTGTGAAGGTTGCACCTTTATTGTTTTGCTGCAACAGGGTTTTAATCTTTGTGTCAGAACTTAACAAAGACTCATTGTCACACTGGGTGGTGTTTGAGGTTAATAAACTCAGGATTTAGTGTTTGAGCTGAATGTCAGGACGTACCTTTCAACAGCAGCTCCGTTTTCCACAGCTCCTCACCTCAGCCGAACCTCTCTCTCTCTCCCTCTCTCCCTCTCTCTCTCTCTCTCTCTCTCTCTCTCTCTCTCTCTCTCCCTCTCTCTCTCTCTCCCTCTCTCTCTCTCTCTCTCTCTCTCTCTCTCTCTCTCTCTCTCTCTCTCTCTCTCTCTCTCTCTCTCTCTCTCTCTCTTCTTTAATATTTCAAGTCTCAGCTTGGCCATTGCTGAGTTTGTTCAGACTTGATTTAGTAATGTTTTGCAGTCAGCTCCACTGAGTTGGCTCCTTATCAACAGGGATATGAGGAGCACCAAACACAGATAGTCTTTGCCTGATTTCATGTCACTGTTTTGCAGACAGGTTACATGAATTAAAGAGCATGTTAGACCAACTACCGTAAATCCTCTAATATTAGCCTGCATTTAATAAACTGCCAGGTATCATATTTTGGCCGGTGTCGGAGGAGGTGAGCGCCGTTATGGCTGCTCTCGTGGTCTGCCTGTAGCTGTTCTGTCTATATGTGTGTGTAATCTTGGTCAGGCTGTTCTGTGGAGTCAAGTTCCTATGCTCTGGTTCGCTGGAGCGCTGGCAATAAAATTCATTCTGATTCTCTGATTCTGATTCTCTCTGAATAATGGCCATTTTTTTAAATTGTGGCTGGGTGGAATGTGGTAACAAGCAAGTACGGGGGGCGGCTTCATCCGTCTCACTTTTGATTTGCCAGTGATAGACCGCGAGGGTAAATTTAACCATGCGGAGACGAAGAGGAAGGCGAAAATTTGATATCAAGTTCAAAGAGAACGTGCTGATTATGCTGCAGAACACTCTGGAGAGCAGTAGCAGGGGTTGTATGAACTAGTCACTAGTCGACTTCACCGCTCTATAGTGACTTTTTATGCCTGTCATTGACTAGTCGCTGTCACGTGATAATGACCGGCAATATGCAGTCCACGGAAAAGACAGCAGCCTGCTGTCAGCAGGTGACAAGCTCCTGCGCGTCGGGAGGCAACGCGCTGTGCCAGAGCGTCGGTACTGACACCCGCCGTAAAACGGACATTTAACCAAATTGTGACCTTTACCCTCTTGCAATTTAACCTTCCCTCACCCCCATCCTAACCTTAACCAGCTTGCTCATGCAAAGCTCTGATTGTTGACGCGCTCCAGACATCTGCGTCCTGAGCACGGCCACAGTAACATTATCAAATCAGGTGTCGCCACCTCAAAAAATAATTTAACACGCGACCGTTCATGTCGGCTCATTTCCTTTTGTTTTCTGTCTTTTATTCTTTTATTTGTGCCTGATGCGTTTCGCTGCTGTGGATCAGGGCGCATCACCTGTTTTGTCCTCAGTGACACACCTAACTGATGTGGCCGGTGAGCAGCGGCACTCCGCTGTTTTTGCGGTCGGTAGATCTTTCAGAACTGCAGTTCAAAGGTAACTCATAAGGTGAATATATATGAACCCAGGTAGCAGTTTCTCTTTAGGCATTGAGAGGAGATGCAGGAAGATAATAAACAGGCAGGACAGAAAAATAGTCAAATAAAAACAAGTTAGTTTTTGTACCTGGTGGTTGCAACAAACAGACACCAGTGAAGGTAATCAGAAGTGAGGAACAGAAAATGAAATAATTATTTTAATGTTTAGAGCAGCAGGAACTCTGAGAGGCTGCAGGCGCATCAGTGAGTTTGCGGCCGCTGCGCAGGGGGAGGGGGGAGAGGGCTGAAGCAGAAACTACCGTTGTGAAAAGAAATGTGTTTAACTTTGAAAATGTGGGCGCAATTTTAATTGTCAAAAACTCCAGCGAACCATTAGTTCATTTTGCTCAAATAGAAATAGAGGCCTGCCTCTAATTCTGGTCCTCCTTCCAATAAAGGCCTGGAGCTTGATGAGCTTGAGTCAAATACAGGCCCGGGCCTGTATTAGAGGATTTACGGTATATCAGCAGATGTGATCTGATGTTCAGCTTTGGCAGGAGAAGTGTGTGTGTGTGTGTGTGTGTGTGTGTGTGTGTGTGTGTGTGTGTGTGTGTGTGTGTGTGTGTGTGTGTGTGTGTGTGTGTGTGTGTGTGTGTGTGTGTGTGTGTGTGTGTGAAGACAAAACCACTTTGACAGTTTAAAAACAAGTCCTCCATCTCAACAAGAACAGACACACACACCTGTTTACATAGTGTGGATAAACCCTTCAGGAAGTGTTTTCTGCAGCTCACTAGCTTCATGTTCTTTGGTTTATACGCATTTTAGAGTTTTAACATTTGACATTTGCTCAATTCTGAAAGTTTATGCTCATAGAAAATAAGCATTGATTCACATGCTGGGTTATAATTTCATTAATCTCACTTTCCAGGTGAATAGATTGCATTTAGATGGAGGTTCACTGGAGCAGTTTATGAATTCTCGCTGGCAACAAAAATATTTGAATGCAAAAATTAGAAGAAGGTTGCATACCTTTCAGTGACGTCTCTGGCGTGACAAATAAAGTGGGCCACAATAACTTAACATAAAATAGAAAAACCCAGCAAACAAGATATATCGGTTTATATAAATGTAAATCAAGAACACAGCTTTTTATTACAAGATATGAAGAACAAAGGGTCACTCACCAGGTTTGTTTATATATTAAACAGAAATGTTCGTCTTTTATCTTGATAAACCTTTTAATAACTCCTCTGTCAACATCCAGTATGCCAGAAATTTAATCCAGTGATCTCCAACTGTGCATTAGGGGCAGCAGTAGCTCAACAGGTGAGCGGGTTGTCCAGTAAAAGGAAGGTTGCAGGTTCGATCCTGGCTCCAGACAGAGAATTCTGCTGTTGTGTCCTTGGGCAAGACACTTAACCCACCTTGCCTGCTGGTGGTGGCCGGAGGGACCGGTGGCGCCTGTGCTCGGCAGCCTCGCCTCTGTCAGTGCGACCCAGGGCAGCTGTGGCTACATCGTAGATCATCACCACCAGTGTGTGAAAGAGTGTGTGAATGGCATGAATGATACTGTAGTGTAAAGCGCTTTGGAGTCCTTACTCTGAGAGGTGCTATACAAGTGCGGGTCATTTATCATTTTTCCCAATAATCTGGCAGAAATGACTTAGAAGCTTGTTTAAAGCAGCGTTGTTGACTTCTTAAGCGTTTCAGGAAGTAAGACTCTGTGATACAATCGTTTATGCAACTAAAGCCTTGATGGATCAAATTCCTTAACCTTAAATGTTATGGTTAGAGATGTTCTCATACCTGTCTTACTAAAGAGAAATATTATTACATCACAGAGACTAAATTAACTTATTTAATATACTTCATGAATCATTCTTATTGGTAAACAGGGATGAGGCTGATATTTATAACTCTGATGCTTGATTTTAGACTTAAAATACTTTAGAAATTAGATTAGTTTTATTTGCAGCCCACGATAAATCAGATCGTCCTGGTTTTTATCAAAAGTGCTGTTTTTTCTTGTTTTGTTTTTTTTCTTGTCTGATTCTTTGTGATTTCCGTCTCTGGCAGGTGGCAAAGGTGGAGTACGTACGACGGCGGCCAAAGCTGAGGGAGGTGCCGGTGACCCTGGAGGATCACTTAGAGTGTGTCTGTACCAATAAACAGCACATCGACCTGAACCCTGACACAGATAATGGTGTGTGTGTGTGTGTGTGTGTGTGTGTGTGTGTGTGTGTGTGTGTGTGTGTGTGTGTGTGTGTGTGTGTGTGTGTGTGTGTGTGTGTGTGTGTGTGTGTGTGATTGCTTTTGGAAGCATTATTAACCTCAGCTTCAACTTTGTCAGGCTGCCCCAGGTCAGCTGTGGCTATCTAGTAACTTACCATCACCAGCAGTGTGTGAATGTGAGTGCATGAATACTGAAAAGCACTTTATAAATCTAATCCATCATTATTAACCATTTTCTAGTACAAGTGGCCATATTTCATCACCCTCTCTCCTGGCACTCAAAGTGAGCAGAGGCTTTACTTTTCGCTCCTTCTCTTATCTTCCCGAGGCTCTTTGTCTCTTTTGAGGGTGATCTTTGGAGTTAATTTAAAAATTATGGATCTGGTTTACTGATCGCTGAACGCTATTGATAACATTCAGAACAGAGAAGGGAGCGCCCACATGCCCTCACGAAATGCACCCAGTTTGAAATATTTTGGATTCCTGGAAGTGGAACATCACGTGTCTTTCATTACTTTCTGTTGCTGCAAAACAACAAATCTGGCTCGGTTTGGCCTTGGCTGAAGAACACAACTCCCCGAGCAATGAATACATGGCTGTGCAAAATGTTGCAGACTCTCTCTCTGAGAACTAATTTAATGTAATTTAAAGCAGCTAGATGGAGTATTTCTCTTATCCATTGGCATCATCTAGTTGCTGACAAGCATATCACACAAAAAGTCTGTCGATCCATTTTATGAAGATGGCAACTTCACGTTTCTTGTTAATAAATGTGCTTCTGTAGCTGACAGAGTGAAAACACGTTGTTTTACAAGTATTATTCTCATGTCATGTTGTGTCTTCATATATTTTAGAGACTTACTTGTCCGTGAAAAGTTCATCAACTCTGCAACAGCTGAGGTATTCCTTAAATTTGAAGCATGTAAGTGGTAGTCTAATGCTATTGGTTAGTTCTGATCGGCGCTGTTTCCTGTTGCATGGAGCTTTGCAGGGCAGGGGGCGTGCTTAGCAAACAAATAAATAAACGTATTGCTTACATTATATCACAGTACATAAGATGGTCCCTTTTACGGATTTCAGAAAAATCATACTTAATTTCTGAAAGGAGAAAACTCTGGAAAGCTACTTTCATTTCATTTTATTGTTTGAAAATTTTGACATGATAACAAACCTGCAGCAATAGATGAGTAAAGCTTTACTCCAATAGTGTATGTTCTTGTGCTGGATTTAACAATAAGACATGCATGACATCCTTTATCTTTTCTCCCTCAGGCATCAGATGAAGAGGAACAACCTGGTGACTCAGTGTAGGAAAGACAAAGATCTAAACAAGAACCACCCAGAACATCCTCTCAGCTGTAAATCAACCAGCAGGAGTAATGGAGTCTAACAATATTATGGGATGTTTGGCATTCTCACAGAGGACGATGATTTCTCAGTGAAGAGAAGAAACTTGTCAGCCCAACAGAACTGATCTGGGATCTGTGACTCTGGGAAAAATCTTACCTGTCCTGATCTTTCACATTAGTGGGACTGATATTTTAGGTTGGACTGTTTTTTCCACAAATAGTGACATGGGATTGGTTTTGTTACTCCTTCCTCTGTAAAAACAGAAAATAAACTCACTCATGCATTCATATCTTTATGTTTTTATAACATTATGCTTTTATTGCTGTTTGTTTATATTTCTGGTTTATTTTCTGCATTAGGATTAAAAATGTGGAGACACGTTACTGACAATAAAGTCTATATATGAAACAAATGTGGTGATGAGAAAACTTGATGATTATGATGTGGAGTTGAAAATCTGTGGTTGATTCACGTGGGAACATAAAATACTGACATTCTTTATTTTTTCAGCCTTTTTACCAAACAACCAGAAGAAATCTTCTTTTGATTCCTTTGTGTGAAAACACAGCCACTTTTCAGTTTTGTTTAATAATCTTTAAAAATGTTAAAGTGGTCCTTTACTTATATTTTTAATACATTTACATTGGTCCCTAGTAGGAATGAATGCCTTGTGAGTTTGGGGAAAAAAGCTCCGGTGCACCTGTTTCAGCATGGAGAATCTATCTGGAGGAGAAAGTAGCTTTTGACGGCAGGATTTGGAGTCTTATTTCCTGATATTTGGACATCTCACTTCTGATTGGCTAACCACAACGTGACTCTACCGACTGACTCTGTTTGCTTTGCAACGTGATGTTTTATCTCCACAAATGACACAAGCTGAGAGGAGTTCCACCGTCTGATGGAGATGCTAATGCTAAAGGTTAGCTTCTACTAGCTGAGAGATTCTCTGCTGTTCCCTGGATGCTAAACCAACAACAGTGTGACGTAGATCTGTCAGGCCTTTCAAAACCTGAAAACGTTTTTCAGAAGCTAAAGCAGGAGATGGGGGTAAGAGACTACTTTCATGTCCAGCATGCATGAAAAACTCGGAGTCACCCGATTATAAGCAGAAATAAAAGTTTAAAGGTGTTTCTCAATGAGGGACCCTTTTTAGGTTGTTTTGTTTTATTTTATAGAATCAGGGCTGTAGATGAACACCACATCACATAAAACACTTGATTATTTAAAGCAAATATGCTAAATAAGGGTTAAATATAACTGACTCAATAAAGTAGCACAACAAACATGTTTATTATTTAGCAGATTTAAATCATTTCACACCTGGTTTATTAAAGCAGAATGGTAAACCAAGATGTGTAAAATGTTGCATTTATTACCAACCAAATAAAATTTGAATGAATAATTTAAGTATTTAAAAAGACAATGTGTAGTTTTTACCATTAATTTCTGGAAATATTCATCAAAATGTTGTTGAAAATGAATTAAATGATGCCCAGTTGTTGAAAAATATTGGGGCTTTGTAACATAAATAAAGAAATCAGGTCTAACATACACGGGAGCAGGTCTAGGTCTCTGGGCGACGCCCTGTTAGACGCCATGTTTCCTCTACGGGAGCCCATGAGGACAAAATGCATTTACTGATTTGAAACAAGTGGTTACAAAACTTTCTCCATTCTTAAATGTTGTGGTTTTACACATTACCTCTTCACTTGTTGTCAGTGATGAAAGGGAGTCTGATGTTCTTGTTGTTTTGCTAAAGGTTGCACTCCCCAGGGCTTTTGACCATAATGGGCATCTGTTGGTAAGGTTTTACTCCAACACAAAAATACAGCTTGCTTGCAATGATTTAGGTATCTACTGCCCCCTATTGCCAGGAAAAACACACACTGTCACTTTAATGTCAGAATGTGACTGATTACATCATCAATCAACCTCTTCTTTGTACATTTGGAATTAATAGAAATTAGAATGTAGAAAACTGCAGCTCTGACAGGTGTAAACTCTATTCAGACTGTTATTAACAACAGGTAATAAAGTGAATATTTAATATTTTACGAAACTTGTCTAAGTGTCGGACTGCACCAGACAAAAACAGAGAGAGAGAGCATCATCTGCTTTCAAGAGCAAGACTGAACATTACACTGCTTTGAGTCATTTTTTTAAAAACCAAACCAGAAAAATGCCTGTCACAGCAAAATAGAGAACATGGTGTTTTCCATATCCTGGTGGTCATAAAAACCTCACTTCCATCAGCCAGAACCACAGTCTTTAAGCGTCGTGTGAGGCTTCTTTCTGTTTGTCTGCTGCTCATATCATGAAACACTTTGAATGACACACTTCAGCAAATAAATCTATTTAATTCAAACAGGAAAATAAATGCATGTAGGTATCACAGAGAAAAAAGTCAGGCAGCTGAATTCATGCAAACTTATTTTGCATGTAGCTCTTGGTGCATTGATGTAAACCATCTGAAGGCACTGCCCACCGGCATAACCAGACCGAATAGCTGGAGAAAAAACATGAAAATCATCGTTTAGTGGTTCAATGTGAGCCACAAAATGAGGACGTTTAAAGTTTGGGTTTTTATGTTCTAGGTTGTCTTCCCAGGATTTTACCAAAAAGTACAGTTAACAAAATAAACACAACACTTTTGTTTTTGCTCCCATTTTTCATGAGCTGAACTCAAACATCTGAAAATATGTCTACATACACAAAACACCAGTGACTCTCAAATATTGTTCTGAACATGTCTACGTGTGTTAGTGAGCACTTTTCCTTTACCAAGATAACCTCACAGGTGTGGCACATCAAGGGGCTGATTAGACAGCATGACTAATGTACAGGTGTACCTTAGACTGCCCACAATAAAAGGCCACCCTGACATGTGTACAGTTGTGGGGAGTAAACCAGTTAGTATCCGGTGTGGTCACCATTTGCCTTAGGCAGGGCAACACATCTCCATCACATCGAGGTGATCAAATTGTTGATTGTGGCCTGTGGGATGTTGGTCCACTCCTCTTCAATAGTTGTGTGAAGTTGCTGAATATTGGCAGGAACTGGAACACACCGTCGTATACGCCGATCCAGAGCATCCCAAATATGCTCAATGGGTGACATGTCTGGTGAGTATGCTGGCCAGGCAAGGACTGGGATGTTTTCAGCTTCTAGGAATTGTGTACAGATGCTTGCATTATGGGGCCGTGCATTATCATGTTGCAACATGAGGTAATGGTCGTGGATGAATGGCACAAAAATGGGCCTCAGGATCTAGTCACAGTACCTCTGTGCATTCAAAATGTCATCAATAAAATGCACCTGTGTTCGTTGTCCATAACATACACCTGCCCATACCAGTACCCCACTGCCACCATGGGCCACTCGTTCCACCACAATGACATCAGCAAACCACTCACCCACAGAAGTTATGCAAACCTATGGTTGCTGCAGCTGTCCGGGTGGCTGGCCTCAGGCGATCCTAGAGGTGAACATGCTAGATTTGAAGGTCCTGGGCTGGTGTGGTCACATGTGGCCTGCGGTTGTAAGGGTGGTTGGATTTACTACCAAATTCTCTGAAACTCCTTTGGAGATGGCTTATGGTAGAGAAACGGACATTTGTTTCACGGGCAAGAGCTCTGGTAGACATTTCTACAGTCAGTATGCCACTTGCACTCTCCCTCAAAGGTTGCGACATCTATGGCATTGTGCTGTTTGATCAAACTGCACGTGTCAGGGTGGCCTTTTATTGTGGGCAGTCTAAGGCACACCTGTACATTATTCATGCTGTCTAATCAGCCCCTTGATGTGCCACACCTGTGAGGTAGGATGGATTATCTTGGTAAGGGAAAAGTGCTCCCTAACACACATGTAGACAGATTTCAGAACAATCTTTTAGAGTCATGGGTGTTTTGTGCATGTAGAAACAGTTTCAGATGTTTGAGTTCAGCTCATGAAAAATGGGAGCAAAGCAAAAGTGTTGCATTTATATTTTGGTTCAGTGTAAATGAATAAAACAGAAAAGTATCATGTGGTGTAAAATCCTGAAAACTGCTCTGGGAGGGACAAGGAGAGGAGACAGATGGGGATAAGACTGTAACGAGGTCTGAAAGGTGAGAGGGAGGAAATGAAAACAGACAGGATGGAGTCCAGTGTGTGTGTGTGTGTGTGTGTGTGTGTGTGTGTGTGTGTGTGTGTGTGTGTGTGTGTGTGTGTGTTGATTGAGAGAACTCTCCTTAGAGCGTTTCCCTTGTGTTTGTGTTCCAGACACGGCGATGACCTGATTGTGACTCCTTTTGCTCAGGTAAACGTCTCCATTAAAACAGAATCCTGTTTTTATTAGTCTTTACTCTGACTTTATTCTTCCACATAAAACAAACTGTTACATCAGTAAAATAACTAATTAACATATTCTACACAAACTATACTAACAACAGTCCTTTTCACTACCTTCTTAGGTTCTGGCAAGCCTCCGAAGTGTAAGGAATAACTTCACGATACTGACCAATGTCCAGTGTCCTTCTAGCAAGTAAGGATCACCAATTCAGTTCCGGAAATGAGACTTTTTGTGTTTTTGTTTTATGTGCACTCAAATTAAGATGAAGCTTGCAATCCTTGACAGGAAAAAAGTTCTTACAGACCACAAACACGTTAGGAGTGTAATAAATACAGTCCAGCCTGTTTAGCAAAGTGGCACTTTTTTTATATTTACCTTTATAAAGTTTGCGGATTTGATTAAATGAGTCTTCTTTTAGAACTACTATTTCCAGTTCCATGAACTCACCACCAGGTGGCGGTCTTGGTCCATAAACTGAGATGGGATGAGCAACATCTCAGCTGTTTCCTTAATTCATTCCAGAATTAATTTTAGGGAGCTGTTGTGCAAATGAAACCATTTGTTATTTCTACTCTACTCCCATCTTCACGACATCTTTGTGATGCACAGTAACGCAGAGTGACAAAAAAATGAATTAAGACTAAAAATTCACAATTTCTACAAGTTGTGTGAACGCAACACAGTTAAGATCTGCAGCAGTGTCCACCCTCAGCAAGCTCACTGAGTTTAGGAGCAGATTAAGATTTTCTCGTAGGCCACCTTTGCCCTCTGTTCTTCACTGTGAGAACCTGTCTGTGTTTGGATTTCTGACGATGCTAAGAGCAGTTGGCTCTACCAAATGCTTTATTTACACTCGGTTTGGTGTACAGACTGACTGAAGCTTCTGTGACCTACTTACAGCTTTTCACTCCAGTGGGAACAAGAGCGGAGAATGAGACACGTGCATGTTAGTTTGAACATGCAACAGTGTAAATATCAGGAAGGGAATCATTTTCTTCAACTCACACACAGATAAAGGAGTCACGTGCATGCGCACGTGCATGTTTCAGGTGTAACTGTCACAAATTGAATATTACTTCTATTTTGTTGCTGTTTATAAAAGTAGATTTTGCTGCAACATTTCAGCTCCTGCACTCATGCAGGCCTGATGTTAGTCGGCTTCTACAGTGATGGCATTCGTTAAATGTGTGTTTAAAACACTTTAAAGTTTAAATGCTGAAACTTTGCTTGTCTTGCTGAGTGAAGAAACTTTTCAGTTTATTGTTTACTTTAATCAGATTTTTTTCCCTTCAGTTTTTGAAAAAAAAATCTAAAATAATTTCTTCTTCACTTAAAGGAGACATTATGACTTTTCCTTAAATTATAACAGTTCTAACAATTCTATGGTTCAAAGGTAATTTCAGCAGTTCAATCTAGACCCACAAGGCAGCAGATGAGAATGCAAAAGACAAGTTTTGCACAGGATGTCCCCTTGAAGACCATTTTATTTATTTTTGGAGACTAAATTGTCTTTTTAACATAAAAAAACATCAAATTTCCATATTTTCCAAACATAAGATTTCAGTTATTTGAATCTAGTTGGTAACATTTTGTAATTTAGATGAGCTCATATTTAAAAGAATATTCACATTTTAACTTTTATTATCTTTGTATTTTGGTTTGTTTTAATCAGGAGGTCTCCTGCAGCAACAACTCAGCCTCCAATCACCAAAGTTTGTCTCCCAG